CCCTTAAGATTAATGATTCGAGAAGTAGAGCGACTAACATATAGTTTTTCCAGAATCAACCATGCTTCTCGGGATGTAACAACAGTAGATACATAAGAATATAGGGATTCAGATATGGAGTAGCGAAGAGCATGAAGAATGAGTTTATCCTTACGATACCAGATACGATATGCGGGATTAGGAGAGGTGATTGAGTCTGCTGTGATCGTTTGAGAAGGGGCCACCCCCGAACCATCGATAAAGCCAATAAGCTCCAATCCCATGAGCAGAGTCTCGAGTTGCGAGCGCCATGAGTGAAAGTTCGACGAAGTGAGCTTCAAGGGCAATTGGGCAGCAAGATTAAAAGTGACAATGGGGTCTTTGTTTGCCATTGACTGATTAGAATTGGAAACAGTAGAACCATTCATGATGATAAGGAAGAAAAGGGACGCCGAAACAGTGGAGACAGATTGATCGGGAATGGAGAAACATGGGAAGTAGATTGATTGAGAATGGATCGAGTCTAGCTGAACGTTTCCTGTTCTGATACCGTGAACGAGTTTGAGAGAGATAATTACGGGAAGAATCAATTGTTTTGATTTCCTTAATGATTCTCAATGCTAATATACAAGATTATACAACAGAAAAAGTATCCCACTCTCCTAAGAAGTAGGAGCCGGAGCAGTAGTGGGAGAGAAAAGGAAAAGAAGAAAATAAAATATAGTTTTTATTTACTAAATATCCTTAATACATAGCATCATTCAATCATTCATCGTTCATCCGGTTTCGAAGATCACTCTTGATATATTTTGCGTTTTGATACTAGGACAGATAATTAACATTCGTATAATTATAGAAGTGTGTTTAATAAATCAAAAACCTCTTCTAGCCGAGATGGTGATATTGTTCACTAGAAATCACTGGGTCAGTGGTTTGATCACTAGTTCCCACTATATATACTGAAGTTTTTTTTGCCCAAAACCAAGATCACTTTCCCCATTAACTTGAATTGTTAGATATATTTAATTATGGATCTATACGAACAATCCAACCATAAGAAATGCAGGTTAAACTCAAGTTGCCTCACATGAAAAGTAAAATAAAATTAGGGTTAATAGCATAAATTGCCCCTCTACTATGTTTTTTTCTTGAACCTGCCCCTGTACTATGTTTTATGTCAAACTTGCCCACCTACTATTACCACTATATCAAACCTACCCTTCCGTTAATATTTTCATCTGGGTGCCGTTAATCTCGGTTTGACCGGTCTAAATCCAAAAAGAGGACATGAAAACTCTAATTTGTTCCTCCATTTGGGTTAATTCCGCCCCTGTAGTTTACCTCCCCACTTTATTATATCCATCTGTTTCCATTTTATTATACGAGTGTAACATGTTCAATTTCCACTCTAGCGGGTGATAAATATAAAGAAAAGTTTGGTTGTTAATTAAAACATTCACCTTATATAGACAAGTTTAGCCACTTCAAGAATACTCTGCAGCAACAACTCGTTAGTTCACCCCAAGAGGTAAAAATGTCGTCGCACAAAACAAGATAGCGATGCTAAGTTACAAGCCTAAGGATAGGGCGGACCAATCCTTGAATGACTCTCCGATTTGCCGTTTGTTTGTTGTGAATGGAATATTGGAATTGATCATTTTAGATCAAATGGAAACAAACGTGGGGCCCACCTAGAAATTTATTAAAGCATCGAAGGGAATGGACTCTTGGCCTAGGACAAATCATCATGGCAGTAACTCCACCTAAGTAGGATTGGTAGACCCAATCTCTAGGTCCAAGGAGCAAACAAAGTTGTGAATGATGATCCGACATTGTCAAATTATTCAAAGTCCATTCTCATGATGAGACAATGTCTAACTATAAGGGTAGACCTAAAGATGGAAGGTTTTTAATGGTTTCTAAGTTTGACACAGGATGTGATCAAATGGTGTATTTTCGAAATACACATTTAGAAATCACCTATGTGAGTGTGAAGTGGAGCAGCTTCAAGGAGAATAAAAGAAGGCCAGTTCTCTAAGCACTCATGAGACCAGGCGGTGTTCATGGCTAAAACGAACACAACAATGAGAAACAGTGAACAGATAAGAGTTAGTGGTGTGACATATGTTGTCTTAGTATACAAGAAAAACCGACGATTCAAAGATATCACATCTATCGATTGGTGAGTATACTTGATATATGTTCACTAAGGAAGGTTCAAAGGGAAACATACCTATCCCGATGCAACTAATTCTTAGTCGAGAATCGCACGAGTTTTGCATAGTTTTTAAAATACAACATTCTCCATTCATGTGGGGGATTGTTGGGATTTTTAGTGGTGTGAATGGACATGAAAGGGGAAAGATCCAAGAGAATCTCTTGAAGTACCATGTTGGTAAGATGTGGGATAGCATGGCCGCGAATTCGGTTAATTTGATGTAATATGTTGGTAAACAATAATATTGGTTTGGGTAACCAACTGGTCCAAACCGAGTTGAACCAAATTGAACCGAACTGATATGGCGGTTGGAATAACCAAACCGGTACAACTACCATGAGCTGAACCGATGCACTGGTTCATTATTTTTAAAACGAACCAATGTGTTGGTTGGTGTGAAACCACCCATATGAAGAGTTGCCTCCCTTCGTACGCACCCTTCATTCTCTATAAATAGCACCATACCCCCTCAAGTTTTGACTACGAGATGTACGAGAAATACACGCTTTCCCATACCAAGACTCTGCCAAAATCTAAAGTGATTTTTTTTGCATTGTTTTTCAAAGAGAAAATAGAGTCAAGTGTGGTTCTCGCCGGTTTGTTGCGTTCGATGGTTTTAGGGGTTTGAGGTACCGCTACGTCGGAAAAGGTATGTCCTTTCTATCATGAGAGGAATCATTCCATAAACTTGGGTACTAGAGGGGAATAAGATTCTTTAAGGTGAGAGTGAATTATGTCGGCTAGGACGGTCATATGTGTCTTTGCATGATTTTTTGTGATCTTATATGTTGCTTGTTTTGCAATGATTTAGTATACGTGAACAATTTCCACAACATTACTTTCACATAGATTTATAGGTGCCTTAATAAAAGAGGAGCGTTTAAAGTTAAAGCAACAACAATATTTATTTCATTTGTGAGTGCGGCTAACTCCCAATAAAGTACCTGTATGATTTACCAAAGATAAAATTGTCCAAAACCAATTAGAAACATAGATAAATAGAAACATAAAATGTTATATAAAAAAATGAACCCAGGATACCAAATGCATCATACATATGCCAACGATATTTTCCCAACATGTTTACGTCAATTTGAACCCAAGAGTGTTCTACAAAATGAATATGGAGTATAAATTAAGGCTAAATGTATATATGTTTACGTCAATTTATATTCAACCCTTATTCTTTACTATATTATCAGAGCCTTCCACGTGAAATTGTGAAGACCTTTATTCGAAAATATTGTTACTCCTTTCAATTTTGTTCTATGACAATTTTCCATCCCGATTCGAATTCAAAGTACATTAATTCTTTTCATTTGAAAGGATATTTAACAAAATTCTCCAAAAGAAAATCTCATGCAACATATCAAATTATTGAGATTAACTCGTTTTCCCCGACCACTGACCTCCATTGCTGGTAGCAAAGTATGAAATGGAGACTTCACAAAAAGAGGTGATGAATTGAAGTGGAAGTAAACAAATTTGATGAACAGAGGCTTAATTACTTACTGTTCCCACTACTGTGTTGCATATCTAGTCCTACTATAGTAACTGTTATAGCTCATCGGTAGTGGATATCCGGTCCTTTTACATTTCCTATGCCTCTTTTGATAAGATCAGAAACTAAAGAATAGTTTATCCAATTATGGGAAAGAAATATATTGGCGATTTTAGATAGGGATGGGAAATTCAAGTTTATTGTAGGGGGTCATTTGAAGAAAAGGAAAGAAAAAAAGTCTTTTGATTCAATGAATATTTGAACACTAACCCAACAATCAAAAGTTACCAATGATCGGTGGAGACTAAATGTTAATCTTACTTGTGTGTCCACAAGGGTAGTGACATAACTATAAATTTATACAAGGAGGATTCGATTTGGAAAGACGAAAAATACTAATATGTCTTCAATTTCTTTCTCACAATAACCGGTTTTGTGTTCTCGTAAATGGAAAAGTTGGCAAACTACATTCATCACATACAAAACTATCAAGGATCAATGAAAATGGTGTATCAGTCTTACTAAAAATCAATCATGATTTCGTCATTTATTTTAGTTCGAAAAGTTTCTTCTCGTAACTTATTGTCTAATGTTGATATGCTATATATCAAGGCAACGGGATGCCTAACTACGCTTCCACCCGAGCGAACAACTGACTACAAACTGTATTTTGAAAACTTACTTGTTCATCGTGTCAAAGAATTGAAAATAAAATATGGCACATGATGAATAAAAAAATTATTGCACTCCCTCCACTCCACTTGCTAGGAAAATAGAATACATGGTTGAAAGGGAAAAAGTTTTAGGGAAAAAATAAACTCAGCTTTCATAATCTTGCTAATGCACTTAACATTAGTGAATAGTGATTGATATAGAGAAGAAAAAGAGGAGAAACAAAATCTAAAATATTAAAAAGTGTCATTATTAAAAAAGAAGTGACATGTATTTTCCCTTACTTGAAAACTTAAACCCACCAATTCCCTCCTCCTCACCCTTTTGCTTACTTTGTTCTACAAAACCCCAATTCCATCCATCATATCACTCTCTACAGGATTTCATGCCAAAAACATTCATATAACTAGCTAGAAACGCAAGTTGCAACTGGAGGTTCATACTATATCCCAAAGCAAAATCACAATATTACCATTTAACACAAGAACCATACTCCCTAGTTCCCCAATGTGTAGTGCATGGCTTTGGTCATCAACAATATTTGTGATGATCTTCATCTCCATTTTCTTTCTCATCCCTCATCCTCCTCCAAATAATACTACATGACCTTGGCCTCAAGTTGCAACTTCCATGGCTTGCCTTCTTTTGCCACTCACCATCATCACCTTAATTCACTTCTCGCCTCTGTTGATACTCCACCATGATCATCACAACAACAACAATCTCCCCAAGGGCTCCTTTGGTTGTCCTTTGCTTGGTGAAACCCTTGGTTTCCTAAACCCTCATCCATCCACTTCCCTTGGAGCTTTCCTCCAAGACCATTGCTCCAGGTAAGGCATTTACTCTGCCGCAAGGTTCGGACTCAGGATGTTGCAATCTCAGAAATGTCTCATTTTTGTATGTATTGCAGGTATGGGAAGGTTTTCAGGTCACATTTGTTCTTGTCCCCAACTGTGGTGTCCTATGATCAGGAGCTGAATTACTTCATACTTCAGAATGAAGGAAAGTTGTTCGAGTGCAGCTACCGAAAGACCATCCATGGAATTCTTGGCAATGTGTCGATGCTTGTAGCAGTTGGTGACAATCACAGGAGGCTTAGAAATGTTGCTCTGTCTCTTGTCAATGTCACAAAATCAAACCCTGAATTCTTGCATGATGTGGAGATGCATGACTGCAACTGTGATTATGAAATCATGGTGTGGGAAACAGCAGGTGCTGTTCTGTGAGGAAGCCAAGAAGGTAAAATAAAAGAAGATTTGAATTTGGGCAATTGCTCTGTCTTTGTTCATAACCTGCTTGTGAAATGCCTAAGAAAGAAAGCTTTCAGTCTTTTGATCAGGGATTTCTACATTTTGCCGTATTCATAGTCGGTTTAAAGAAATTCTATCAGGCTAGAAGGTTCTGCTTGTTTTCATTGCTGTTCATTTGGACCCTTCGTTGCATCCAAATGCTCTCAAATTTGATCCCTGGAGATGGGAGGTAAGTCTGAATCCTGTTATTTCATGAAAATGTCAGTGCTAGCATAAACATGTAGAGTGTCAACTGAAGGGCTCTTGTGTAAGGCAAAGGGCTTCTATTCTTTAATCGAATCGGTTTTAGATAGCCAACGTGGAACTTCGATAGTGACGAATCATAGAATACATGCAATGTACCTATGCAGAGTGAAGATCAAACATGTAAGAAATTTACACCATTTGGAGGAGGGCTAAGGTGTTGCCCTGGGTCTGAACTGGCCAAAGTTGAAATTGCATTCTTCCTCCACCATCTAGTACTGCAGAAATTCAGGTACATTATAACATACATAGTAAACATAGTTGCTGGATAAAGATTGGGAAGTCTTCAAATCTGATCATGTTTAAACCTACAATGTGCAGATGGAGAACTGAAGATTCGGATGGACCCTTGGCATTTCCTTATGTAGAATTTTAGAAGGGTTTGTTGCTAAATCTGGACCATTCATACTGATGAACTCAAAGCTCTTTGAAGAGTTCTTTTCTTCTGTAGTTCTGTAAGTTTTTGAGAAGGTTTAATTAGGATGATTATCTTTCAAACTTTCGGAACTGTTCCTAATATGTATACATATTTTGCCACAATCATTATATTTGCATGAACACAGACAATCACTTGGTAAATAATGAGAGGAATAAACAATGTGTACAGTGTGAATGCAACAACAAAAATACTTGACAATAATGAGAGATCAATTATTATTAGCCACTTTGTAGAGAGGCCTTATATTATTTCCATCAAGCAGATCTTTTAACTGCAATGACTTAACAATTCTAATGATGATTTTGATTATTACAAAACCTTAACTTGAAGAAAACCACTAACTTGACCATTTCAGCACAATTGGACTCTTCACCTTATGCTTTCCATCTTCCCAAACCAACCCTCCAAACACATATTCCTTCCCTCTGTTACCCACCTTACTACCATTGAATAGAACCCTAAAGCTCTTCACTTCTCCAGCCTTCTTGAACTCCAACACATCTGGCTCAACCGACACAGAGACCCCGCTCGGGTTCTTGACTCGAGCCCGATAAATGCCTGGTGAGCCGATGTTCGTGACAGTCCGAGTCACACTCATTGAGCCGTTGAAGCTTGGGATGGCTATGGAAGGGTAGTTGTAGTTGGAGAGGGTGATGGGTTGGGAAGGGCACTTGTGGGTATCATCTTGGGTGAAAGATGAAATTAGGGTATCATTATAACCTAATGCACATAAGAAGTTCAGGTGGTCTTTGATAGTTAAGTCATAGACCAGGCCGGGATCCATGGCTTTGTTGGGTCTAATGTGGCCTGCTCCATAGTTGAATGGGTTTGCCATTGTGTTGGATGCATTGAGGATTGGCTCCAGTTTGTTGTCCCTTGTACTTGCTGTCAATACATAATTAGGCTTCATTAGACTTAGAAATGGTGGTGTTCTACAGAAGGACAACAAAGAGCTAGCAAAAAATGGTTGCATGCATCTTATTGTAGTTGAATATTAATCAATTACCAGTTGTCATGATTGCTGATTTAATGGCAGCAGGACTCCAATGTGGATGCAGAGTTATGAGAAGGCCGACAATGCCAGCAACATGAGGGCAAGACATGGATGTTCCAGAAACCGAGTTGAACTGAACTCGCCTGGTATCAAAAGCTGCATTTGTTGGCCCTTGTGCCTCTGTATAGGCTGCAATTATGCTAACTCCTGGCGCTGTGATGTCAGGCTGAAATGTAAAGTCATCGTCGATTCAGTACATGACTTACCTTCGTACATCTTCCAACAACTTTGAGCTTTCATTCAAGGCATGTCTCTAGCTATTTCAAGACAAACTGAAGAACGGATCGTGCTTCAGCCTACCTTAAGGATATCAGGGGTAATTTTGTTTGGTCCCTTGGATGAAAATGCAGCCATGAGAGGTGCTGGTTTGGTGCCAATTTGTGTTTTTGAAGGTGTGATGTATGCAATAGGTTCCCTGGAAAAGAGAGCAATATGAAAGATCATTTAAAGGGTTAATATTTTGACATAGAATTGTGACAAGAGTATTATCATCTAACTTACTTGGTGGAATTGATGTAATGGAAGATCTCAAGACCACTGCCATAATTGACATGGGAAGCAGGAAGGACATGAGCATCAGCAACGACTTCATTCCCAGTGCTCAAATCATTGGCAAGCACCATCCCAACTGCACCAACAACGGCAGCTTGCTCACCTTTGTCAACCCTTGCTGTGATCCCTCTCAAGCAAACCAAGATCTTCCCTTTCACCTTCTTGGGATCAAGTGTCCCAGGCTTGCACAACAGCCTGCAACACAACCCCACAAACAACAACAACAACAAAATACTTCACTTCAGCTTCTTCAATCCGATACATTGATAATCACAATGAATGGAATTAAACTCGATTGCTCCTCTTACGCATCTTGAACAGTAGCATTCGCTGCTTTAGCATCTGCAGCACTCATCATGGGTAAAAATGTGTTCTTTCTGAGTGATTGAGGTGACAAACTCTCTCCCTAATTCAGACCAACATCATCAATTCATCCCATCATAATCAACAACATAACGACTAAACTCAATGGATGAAACCAAAACAAAAACAAGAAAAGAGACAATACCTTGTATCTCATCTGGTTGCCAAGCACAACATAGTTAGGGAACTCCCTATCCATGGTACTAGCACCAACAGTAATCTCCCACGGCGCCACATTGGACACAGTCGATTCAACCGGGCCAGAGTTGCCTGCAGAGCAGACTACAACAATCCCATTGTTCACCGCGTGAAACGACCCAATTGCCACACTGTCGTTGAAAAATGCAGTCGGTTCACTGCCGAGGGAGACAGACAGCACATCGACACCGTCGGAGATGGCTGCATCGAATCCAGCAATTATGTCTGCATCAAAGCACTCACTGCCATTGACTGGTGGGTAGCAAATTCTGTAAGCTGCCACTCTGGCTCTTGGCGAGCCTCCTTTGGCCGTACCGTTGCCGAATCCAAAGACACTTGCTCCAGAGACGAATGTTCCACCTAAATAATAACATATATATAAGAAATGATATATTGTGAGAATCGAACTCAAGAACACAATATGTCAACCGCTCGAGCTACCATTTTGTATGTGGTTACAAACCTGCTGTAGAGAGGGTGTGTGAGCCATGGCCATCTGGGTCCCTTGGGGAGAAGAAGGTAGGGCCTAGATTGCCTCCTGGTACTACTGATGCATAGCCTTTGTTGAAGTACCTTGCTCCTATCAACTTCCTGCATTGTAAGGAACCAACAAGTTCAATATGTGGCCGTTACATTCATTACTGAACCAGGCAATGGTGGATCCAATAATTAGTAATTAAATTAAATAAGGATCCCACAATTAGTTTAGTTGTTAGGTTTTGAAAATAGTTGGGGATAAGGAATAATATTTTTACTATTTCATAGTGTTTAAATAGAACAAGAAATGAGTTGCAACCTAGAGAATATGTTTAATAATAGTAGTGTCCTAGATTTGAATAACACAAACTACCCTTAATATTTTTTTTAATCTTACAAAAACTACTCTCAAGAGTAGGATAATAATTTTTTTTCAAATTTTAAGGGTGTCCCAGATTACCAATTATAATTTTTTCCATACGAAACTACAATCGGGGATTGAATAATCGTTCTTCCAAATTTTAGGGGTGTCCCGAGACACCCCTAAATGTCCATGTATGCGCCATTGGAACCAGGCACTAAGGATCATGAGTTTATGAAAGTTTGTTGACAAAGTCTAGAAGATGTGAATTCTTTTTTTTTTTTGGGTAGAAAGATGTGAATTCTTTCGATGTTACAAACTATGATATCATGTCAATACTTAAATAAGAGGCCATAATATCGTGTCAATAATCAAGTTTAGTTGTAATTAAAAAAAAATTGATAAAATTATACGGCTGGAATTTTATAGAACTATAATATCACATACGTAAGAAGTCCAAGTAAAATATTTGTAGAACAAAATAAAATTAAATAATTAGTTAATGACTCGAGTTATTAGAATGAAGATGGGAATTCTAGTTTGAAACTTTTTCTCTTAGTACACATTGTACACTACAGAAAAACCGACATTTGATCACGGTAACTTATTCACGGGAATTTTTCCCGTATTAAAAACCATACCACTAAGTACGGGAAAAATATCAGTAACTAATTACATCTATCTAGTCATGGGATTTATTTTTCCCAACTTCTAACTCTGGTTACCGTGACTATTCGTATACCAAAATTTTGGCGGAAAATTTTCCCCCTCTTTTCTGAACCCAATCTGAACCCCTTCAATTATTTCCCTCCAATTGTGAAAACTTTCCCCCCAATCCTCAAAAGGCCTTCTTTCCCACTTTTCCACCTCTGCTCCCTACTTCCCCCCTCATCTCAAATCTCAATATCTGCTTTTCCCACCAAGAAGATGGGATACGCCCGCCACTCACCATCCTTGCCCAGCAACTCTCGTAACCCCCACCTCTCATTCCTCCTCACCGTCGCAGCTAGCAACCTCCAGACTCGATGCAAATTCTGCATCCGTGTAGCTCCTCAACCACCGCCTTAACTCAAGTCCTTGTATTCTTCCCAGAGTTCTCTCTTCCTACCTCCTAATGCTTGTCATTGTTGCAAATTCCAGATCTAGCACCGCTGGCCCCAGCTGCCATGCCACACCACTCTACCTCTCTTCTTGCCCAACCCGACGACATCTCCTAATCGACAGGGGTC